GTTGGCAACCTTTTCAAACCAAAGAGCCAAGCTTGGTCAAAAATCTGACCAAGTGGTCAACAAAGAGCTGTATAAGAATGCCCATTTGTGTGATTGAAAACATACAACTTAATATTATTGATATTCGCATAATGATTAATAATAGAATGAATGAAATATATTGTACACTCAGACTGTATTTAATGGGACTCCTGCTGCTGCATCTTTTTTTTCATCATGGCGGGTCATATCCAGCTTCATGCACACATTCAAACTTCCTGGGTAATGACGTATTTTTAAAATTTTGAATTCGTTTTCCGTTTAATTTAAAAAGTTGCGTGTATTTTGGGAATGACAAAAGACTCCTATTTGGTTCCACACTAAGCCATAGCTTGCAGACCCCTGCAACAGGAATTGCCTCCCTCCAGCCTTCTTAAAACAAATACTGATTTATATTTTTCATCGTTTTCTGTAGTATAGGAGCAAGGCATAAGGCCACTTAGGGTTGGCAGCAGGGGACAGGTGTGCATAACATTATTACTTGACTGAGACATTAGTAAGAAGTACATTGCAGGAGATAAAATATTTCAGAGACAGCCAGGCAAGCAATAATTGTTCATTCTGTTGTCAGTTCAATGGAATAGAACGTTTAAGCAGAACTTGCGATGCAAATCAACCATGGCTATCTTCTAACAAATTATGAGTTTCAGTGAATTGCAATGGAAATGTTAATGCAAATCCCTTTTAATAAGCAAACAAGTCTTTCATAACATTTTTTTTCAACTTAGCTATGGCCCCATATTAAAATTTGTAAAAACAAGCTTTTCAAAAACTTCAGGCCAATAAAATGCTTCCACACTTAAGTCATTAAAATAATCCAATGAACTCAGTTATTGTTAAAGAAATAAACATCCCTTTCAGTGTTTGAATCCCATGGTGGGTAAATAAACAACACCACATACCTATGATGAAACTGAGGTAAAGAGCTTAAGATTACTAAAGGTGTGAGTTTTCACATATACATATAATTTACAATTTAACAGTGTAAACTTTTGTGCTAAAGATGTTAGCACTTGTTCTTCTTTAGAACACCTCAGTATAAACGTAATTGCTGCTTAATACAATTAAGTATTTGTCACTTGGGAGCACAGTGACATTTGCATGTCAGCTTACCAGAAAAAAAGTTCAACTTGAGCATTTAGAAATATACTAACTTTAAGATCTGAGGGAGATGGGGGCAAATTCGGTACAGTAAGCTCTCTCTGAAGCGGAGGAAAAACACTTCAAAGGATCTTAAAGAAGCTGTCTGCAATTCATCATGAAAAAGTACAACATTTAGAAGTTACGGTGGCCAAATTTTTTTTAAAATAGTTGAACTTCTAAAATCATATTTAGGTATGTGCCTGATTTTCAATAGTGCTTATCATCCAGCTGTTTATCTTTGGGCTCCTATTTTTAGAAAATCTTGGCCCCTCAGGATAGGCTATGGGAGAGGCAAATACAGTTTCCATCATCATGACAAAAAATAAAATAAATATTATGATACAGTAATTCATTATTTAACACTATAGATGTGTTTCTGAAAATGTTTGTATTAGTGAAAATGTGCTATGTGGGGTCAATTTTCCCATTTGAAATAATGGAAAAGGTGGGGGTTGCATTTCAGGTAATGGTGGCAAAGTCAATTTTTTGTTGGTGCTGGGTCGTCAATGTCAATATTAGATATCTAGCAACACAAGCCGCCGCGGTTTGTCAAAACACAGAGATAAACACGTGAGTGAGCAGAGGAGCATTGTAACCACATGTATTCATCCGCTCATGCATATTACCACTGTTTTCACAAATTTATACCACCGCGTGAAATAGTCCGCCACTTGATTATTTTCGTGTTATTTCGGTGATGGTTATGTTATTTGAAAAACACTCCCCCCCAAAAAAATCGTGCTATTGAGAAAATGTGTTAAGCGGGCACGTGTTAAACAAGTAATTACTGTATTCTCTTTAATACAATTATGTTAGGATATTTGTTAAATAATTTCTGACTTAGTGCTTAAACACACTGTGATCTTATCTTGCAAACACACACACTCCTGAGTTATTTTCCTCATGTGAGTAATGATGGGACTACTTATGTGAGTAAAGTTATGTGCTTGATTACTGGATTGGAGCCTGTCAGTTGCTGAAACTGCTTAGAGAAGAGAGAGACAAATCAATTTTATGTATAGTACATAATTCATGGCAGGGTAATTAAAATACTATACAGAAAGCAGAACTTGTAGAATAAATGTATCACTGCAGACAAATCATATCGTTATAAAATCATGGAAATGTAGGGCTGGAAGAGATCTTGAGAGGTCATTTTGTCTAGCCCTTTGCTCTGTGGCAGGACCAAGTAAACTTAGCTTAGACCAGTGATAGGCAATAAAACGGCAGCAGTTCACCAAGGTTAGTCTCTGAGGGCCACTGTGACTATATTTACCTGCGCCTGTGCAAGTACGGGAGATTGTATCTCCTGTTGGCTGTAGATTTCCATTCCCCGCCAATGGGAGCTGTGGGAAGCAATGTGGACCAGGACACCACTTCTCTCACTCCCACTGTCCGGGAACAGTGGTCTGCGGCCATTGAGAGCTATAATCACCCGTACCTGCGGTGGTGCAGATAGATAAATATAAAGGTTCCGGCCTACCAGGGACGAATCATGATAAACCAGATCTGGCCCACCCCTAGCAAAGACCATCTTGACAGATGTTTGTCTAATCTGTCCTGAAAATCCTCCAAGTTTGGGAACTGTACAGCTTTCTTTGGAAACCTATTCCAGTGCTTAATTATCTTTGTAGCTAGAAAGTTTTTTTTTTTTCCTACAATGCAACCTAAATCTCCCTTGCTGCAGATTGAGCCAATTACTTCTTGTCCTACATTCAGTGGACATGGAGAACAATTGATTACTGTCCTCTTTATAACAGTCCTTAAGAGTGTTATTAGGTTCCCTATCTGTTGTCTTTTCACAGGGCTAAACATACGCATTTTTTAAACCTTTCCTTGTGGGTCAATTTTGCTAAATCATTTATCACTTGTATGGCTCTCTCTCTCTCTCTCTCTCCCCCTCTCCCTCTCCATCTCGCTCCAGTTTGCCCACATCTTTCCAGAAATGGCCATAATACTCTAGCTAAGGCTGCACCAGTGCAGAGTAGAGCGGACAGTTACCTCCCATATCTTACATATGACACTTATGATGTTACTCCCCAGAATGGTATTAGCTTTTTTTTTTTGCAGCTGCATCACATTGTTGCCTCATATTCAATTTATGATCCACTATAACCCCCAGATTCTTTTCAGCAGTACTATTGCCTACCCAGTTATTGCCCATTTGTAGTTGTGCGTTTGATGATGATATGGTCGTAAATTTAGAATAACTGTATAAAGATGACATCATATTACAAGATGCTGATGGGCATATAGGTCTAAGATTGAAGAAAAACGGATTATTATTTTCTCAGTATAGGTGCTCACACGATTAAAGACTGTGTTGTAGTTTGCAAACTTGAGAGGTCAGATGTAAGATTGTGCATAATTTTTGCATTTCCTGGCTTGAGTGCTTCACTATGGAAACTAAAAGGTCTGTTAACATTGGAGTGTTTTTTTTTCGATTTAGTATCTTTTGTGTGGATAGTTCCTTTACATAGTTATTTTTGCTATTCCGATACCAATTTATGAACATTCAGAGCTAATGTGGAACCAGTTTTAAAACACCAAGCAAACCCAGAAAACCTCTCAGGTTTCAGGGTAGTCCTCTTACTGTAGGTTTTCCAGGTAACATGAGAGAACTTAATTCTGTGTGTATGTTATAGGATGTCTTGATATCATTATCTAAATGTGCTGTAAAGTCACGCCATGAGGCGTCCCACTATCCAGGGTGAGAATTGTTGCTGTCTAGAAAGGAAATTCAGGTCAGAGTTTCAAGTTTGCAGGCATCTATAATGAAAGAAGGCTGACAGAATACAATATGCTAGAGCAATAGTTCTCAACCAGGGGTACATGTATCACTGGGGGCATGCCGAGGTCTTTCAGGGGATACATCAACTCATCTAAGTATTTGTCCAGATTTACACGGGCTACATAAAAAGCACTAGCGAAGTCAGTACAAACTAAAATGTCATACAGGCAATAACTTGTTTATATAGTACTTTATATACTGTGCATTGAAATGTAAGCACAATATTTATATTCCAATTGATTTATTTCACAATTATATGGTAAAAATGAGAAAATCAACATTTTTTCAGCAATAGAGTGCTATGGCACTTTTGTACTTTTATGTCTGATTTTGTGAACGAGTAGTTTTTAAGTGAAATGAAAGAGAGGGGCATGCAAGACAAAACAGACTCCAGAAAGGGGTACAGTGAGATTGAGAGTCTGGTGAGATTGAGAGTCATTGTGCTAGAGTAATCTCTAACATTCCGATTAAATATTGTGGAAAGGGCTGCAGGCTCCGATACTGTAACATTTAGGAGATTTAGGATTGATTGATTACCTTGTAAAGACAGCAGCTCGGTGTTTCATGTTATGGTTAATTATATTATGGTTCATGGCGTCATACTATATGTGTGTATAACTGAGAAATGTGCGTATGAGGCAGACACTAGACACTAGCTGGTTCCATTTTCTTGTCCCATGCCATTCCTTTAAGCTGCAAAAAATGTAAAAGTATATAGTTACTGCTAATTTCACTGGGGGGTTGTTAGCTTCTGTATATCTAATCCTTACTTTTACAGTCTTTTATTTCATTAAAGGAGTATCGTTACCTCATGATTCTTGCCCATAAACAGCTAAATAGTACTTGACATTTAAAGAGATTTTCTGTTGTGCACTTGTATAGTCAAAGAGTAATACTAATCCTATTAAAGATATTATGTCATGGAGGCATGCCTTGGGGGGAAGGCTTGTTCTAATTGGCTAGATGTAAAGTAGAGGGGAGGGGCTATCAAGAGAGTGGATGTATCACTTGATAGTTAGGTCAGGGATTTCTGTGGGAAATGCCCAGTGGTTGCAGTAGCTGATGATTTCACATCAACAGCAGTGCAACACTGAGAGTGAGCTCCAATAGCTGATTACTGAATGAGATACTGCAAACGGGTTAAAAAAAAGAGCAGCATGTGAGAAGCAGTCAGAGTGAGGCAGAGAAGAGAGCTGAGAGAGCAAGAAAAGTGCTCAGGCTGGAGAAAGTCTTCCAGGTGTACTTGGGGAAATGGATATAAGGACCATCTGCTGTCTATAGATCACAGGACTGTGGACTAAGAGTGTGGAGAAAGAGTTTTAAGTAAAAAGCTAAGTTATTCATAACCAATTTATCAAGACGTCATGAGAATGTTCCTGCATGGGATGCTGGTGCATACATTAAAGCTGCAGATCCCTATTGTATAGCCTACTAAAAAGGAAAAAGAAAAGCAGCAATGCAGGGATTTTTGCATTAAATTCTACAGTGGTTATGTGATTTGTGTATTAAGATAAAGAAAAATCCAGCTTTGTAAAACTGTGGAGTTCACAAGGCACCGCATTTAATGCTGAGAGATGCTAGACATTAAATCTGACAACTGTGAAAAGAGAGATCATGGAGAAGTCAAGTAGTGAGGATTCTTCAATTCACCGTAGTCCATCTTTGGATAGCAAGGACTCGGACTTTGCTAAACCTTCTACCTCAGGCAGGCAGTTTGGTCGAGGTTTTACTGCTGGAGCTTTTTACGGCACTGCTGGATCACGCACACAGAGTCACACCAGAGCTGGAACAGGGACCGGCATTGGAACTGGGACTGGCATAAAAAGTGACAAATACAATGCACCCAAAGGCAGCAAATATGTAGTGTTTTACCTGGATCTATCCTTTGTTTTCCTTTTAGAATTTAAGAAGTGCAACATGGCAAGAGGCTGCCTGTGTTGTTTGAAATACATGATGTTCCTTTTCAATTTAATGTTTTGGGTGAGTACTGCCTTTTTTTTCTATTGCTTCATTTGTCAGAGTTCTCTGTACTGCTGCATTATGTGCCTAGTGCATCTTTTCAACACTACCGTATGCTTTTTTTTTCTCCCCCTCTCTTGTACCTGCATGGAATATTTACAGTGCTAAATCTGTGCCCTATGGGAAAATGTACATGCTTCCTACAGATTTTATCTTCTTATAACTGTACTTTAATTACAGATGATTAAAACTGGAGTCTTTAATTCATGTGTTTTGACCAGGATAAGTTAAAGAAGGGCAGGACCTTTTTACCATGTAAAATGATCCAAATGAGTTTAGTGCAATTTTTTACATTCTTTTATAATGCCTGGTGCTACTTTATGTTGCAAGTTAATTTAAACCTAAATCACGTTGTTGTTGTTCCCTTCAGTCTTCTCCACTTTCCTAATGTAATTGACAAACTGCTTTTCTAACTGAATGAAGCTTTGTCTCATTTTTCCACCTTTAAAAATATACATATATTCTAGTTCTTAAGATGTCAGCACAAATGTAAAATGACTGGAATGACAAATGACTCCTGATACTGTTTCAGTTGTAGTTGTCTAAATTGGTGTGTTAAGTTGGAGACTAGCTTGTGCTTTTGAGGGATCAAAATTGATTTTCCTCTATCAGCCAGGAAGCATGAGGAATTGTAACAATGCTTCTGCAAGCAGATTCAAAGTGTAACGACTCCTTTAAGCAAACTAATGTCATGTACACTTGGAAAACAATTGTGTGAAGTCAGCCAGCTACTAGGCATCCTTGTTTGAACAATATTTTTTGGGGGGAGACGGGTAAAATGCAAGCAAATTGAAATGTCAAGTACATTTCAATACAGCACAGTACAAAATTGTTTTATCAGAATTAAAGGTCACCAGGTTTCTGGTGATTAGGAAAAGCAATTTTAATATTAATGCATTTGATCTTAAAAAATCAAGGTTATAATTCAGAAATAAAAAACCTTATCTCAGAGATAAATGAAAATGTAATTTTGTTGGTTTATTTTTAAAGTAGAAGGGTATTAAAATTCCAGTTTGGATAGGTATTTCTGCTGTGAAGAAGTCAACATTCAAGTTAAGAGCTGCTTTAGCCACCGGCTTTGCTGTTTAGCTGACCCACTTCCTAAAATAACTTGTAACTGCCAAAGGGAATGGGAGACCTCCATAGGGCACTGGCCGACTCGCGCACCAGTGAACTCCAGGAGTAATGCTCTGAAACATTGCCATCATGGAAGGTGTGAGAATCTGACTTAGCCAAGTTTCACAGAAGGTTGGGGCTGAAAGGGGTCACTCAGGAACATCAGTCTTGATTTTTCACGACACGAATCCAACCACAAATTTGCTTCACTTCTGTTTGGAATTCCTGTTAGGATATAAAGTTGTTGCCAAGCTGGGCCATTCATGCCAATGCTGCATTACTCTGGCTCCTTAGAAATATTTTCCTAAGCTAAATATTACCATTGGTTTTAGTAAATGGGACACTAGATGGGGACAGCACTGAATTACTGCAGAGAATTATTTCCAAGGTGTCTGGCTCAGGGTCTAACCCATCATCATATTTGGGATTGGGAAGGAATTTTCCCCTAGGTCAGATTTCCAGAGACCTTGGGGTTTTTTTGGTTTCCTCTGCAGCCTGTGGTACAGGTCATTTGCAGGTTTAAACTACATCAATTATGAAGTTTCTGTGACTTGAAGTCTTTCAAAGATGATTTAAGCGTTTCAGTACCTCAGCCAGAGGCTATGGCTTTATTACAGGATTGGGTGACTGAGGCCGTGTGGCCTGAAATGTGCAGGAGGTCAGACCAGATGATCATAATGGTCCCTTTTGACTTTAAGGTCTATGAATTCATTACTCTTGGTCTTATTGCTCTTATTCTATGTGATCAATCCTTAGCTATCCCTCCAAACTCCATGTATAAATGGTATGAATCCCTTTTTTGTCTCCTCCCCAAGTGACATTTTTCTAGGTTGTCCATAGTTAAGTCTTAAATCTCTCTTGTTGTATTCTTTTATTTGAGCTCCTTATTATTCCCCCCTAACTTCCCAGTGACCCTGTTTGTGTGGTCCCTTTGTGAACTCACTCCACCCTATTTCATACCTTCTCAGACCTTCTCTCTCTGTTCCACTGCCTGATTCCTCTTCTCATCCAATGCTGGACTCTTCTCTGTCTCTCTATGCAGTCTTATATTACCAGGGCCAAGATTTACTGTGCACCCTTCCTGTATCTCTGCATCTCTTTCTCTCTCTGTCTCACCTGAACTCTTGCCTGAAAATGTTTCTTTCTTGATTTATATCATGTTTTTATTTTATTTATTTATTAATCGTTGTCTCTCTATTCATCATGGTAAGTCCTGTCAGTTGTTCTCAGATGCTCTTACACAGAATGTAATCATTGGCATAGAATAATGAATCTTTGAGAATTTGGAGAATTGCTGAAAACAAACTAGCAGGTTTTCCAAGTTGTTTGCAATAAGGAGTTGGTTCCGTTTGTGTTGAGGTTCGAAAGTTCCTGCTCTTTTACAAAATCATCTATTGTGTTAAACTGAAATGTGATGACTCCTGTGCATCCGCCCATTATGGTCAGTGGGCTGCAGTACCGTTGAATGCTACTGTGGAACGATTATTTTTAACCAGAATGTTTCATCCTTTTGTACTTTTGCTGCACTCAGATGAAAGTTGTGTTTATTTTGTAACAGTCTGGGTCAGTTAGAATGAAGTAGGCTGTGGCCAGGTGCTTTGCAGTCTGCCCGATTTTGACTTTGAACATTGGTCTTGATCTGACCTACCATGTTATGTTTCTTGGATGCCATCAAAGCTTTGCTAATGTTTCTTAACACTGATCTTCAACTAACCCTGTTATTCCAGTCTTGGGCTCCCCACACAGCTCTGCCAATGCCCCACAATTCTTCCCTGAAACCCCCAAATACCAAATTTCAAGCCTCTCCTCCCAGATTCATCAATGCATCTCTGTCCTACCCTAAAGCACACCCTTCTATTACAGTTCAAAAATCATGCCTCTTCGTCTCTGCCAGTACATTTAATTTTGGAGCTATGTCAGGCTCTGCTGCTGCAGTTGTATGTCCCCACACAGCTCTGCCTATATTCCTCAGTCCAAACCTACAAAGTTCTGGGTTTCTCATGAGCAGTGGCTGCTAACTTGTTCAAGACTATTGTGATGGCTTTGTGACATGGAATGTTTTTCTCAAAGGGCTCATTTTAGAGTACCACACCAGTCTGAACTTGTGACTTAACCTACAATGTGAATCCACGTCTCCAGAGATGGAAGGTGAATGCCGTAAGTCAATATCCTCTCTTCTTGCAAATGGAAGAGACACTATTTCATGAGTTTGTTTGGAGAACTCTAAATTGAAACTGACAAGTTATGTTTCAGGGAGCCTGCAATCAGGTGCCAGTCTAACCTGCTGTCTGTTGAATTCTCTTATTAATGAGTACTACAAAATATGAATTTGTAAGGCATCCTGTTGTGGTTCTGCAGTGCAGAAAACCTGTTTGATTTGACAGCATACAGAGCATTGTCAACAAAATGCAGTAGATAGGGATTATTTAGATCTCAGTGGTACTGGTTGAACTTCTCTAGTCCAGCTCTGTCTGGTCCAGCAACTTCCGTAGTCCGGCACGATTTGAGTTAGCCGGATGTCGACTTCTGTGGCTAAGTTTCCCATAGTCCCATAAAGTTTTATAGCCACCAGTCCTGGCTTTCAGTGTTCTGTGCTGCTATTTAGCTTTAATTTACCCCTAAATGTCTCCTAAGAGCCCAATAAAGCAGCAGAAGTGTTGGTCATGCTGCTAGACAATATTAATCACTTGTAGTTCAGCAAATTCTCTGGTTGGGCACCAGTCAGATTCTGAGGGTGCCGGACTAGATAGGTTCAAGCTGTGCTTCATCACTGTTATGTTTTGTAAGTGGTATCTTTTGGAGTCTCTTCTCCTACAAACCATCTTCATATGCTGTGTCCTTTTAGCTAAAGAGTGTTGGGCATTGTTCCCTTTTAAGGCCCTGTCAGTCCTGCTTTTGAGCAGTTCCCTAGAAAATGAGGTCAGTGGCTCCTCTTTCACCATTCATAGCCTGGCAACAAGGGGCCAAACCTGATACCTATGTAATATGAGATCCCCCATCTGTCAGCCAGTTGTGCTGCCCCTTTGGTCTGGCTCAAAGGGTATCCATCTGAAGAAGCTGTGACTGTAATGATTAGAATACAGTTTGCACTGTCACATACCTGTGTACCATCTCTGTGTTGGCCTTGGTGAACAGGTGGTACGTTGTTTCTACAGATGATCATTTTAATTGTCACATCGAGAATTGTGTTAAACTTATAACATCTTAGTCATCTGTACTCTTAACAGGAAAATGCACTTTTGAATTTAGTACCAGGCAGACTAACTTATAATGTGGGATGCACTTGCTCTGTAAAAGATGCATCTTGCTTTATATGGGCATACCAATAATTTGAAACAGAAGGTATTTTTCACTATATTTAAGAACTTCAGGTATTTTTCTGTGGCCCTATGTGGCTCTTAGCAGTTGTTCTCAGCCATCTGGCTTTGCTTTCTTTTGGAGATTAGAAAAGTCTGAGCTGAGGGTTAAGCGAGCTTATAGTATTTAATTGTGTGGCTAGGATGGCGATTTATACTGAATTCATCTTAAGTGCATAATATGTTTGACAAAAGGTCTGTGCGTGTACAAATATTAGTTGATTCAAGTGTATCTTCCAGGGTATTTATGTGCAAAATGGCCAATACAGCCTCACAGAATTTCATTTATAGAGATAGCAGCTTAATTGGTAATAGCGATAACTACTAGATTAAAAAGATCAAATATGGGTTCATATAAAATATTTTACTTCATTGTGTTTGTTATCCAGAAAGATATAGTGTTACAGCAACTAGTTATAGAACATATTTCAAAGTCTTTAATAAGTTATGAACAGAACAGTAAACTTAAAAAAAAATGAAAGTTCACTT